TTTTCATTTTTGTTAGGAGTTACACAGTTCAAGATAGGTTTTTCTTTTTTTTTTTAATTTTTTATTGCATTTTCGGTTTTGGGGTACATGAGCAGAACATGCAAGACAGTTGCGTAGGTACACACATGGCAGTGTGTTTTGCTTCCTTTCTCCCCTTCACCCACATTTGGCATTTCTCCCCAGACTATCCCTCCCCATCTCCCCCTCCCACTGGCCCTCCCCCTTTCCCCCCAATAGACCCCAGTGTTTAGTACTCCCCTCCCTGTGTCCATGTGTTCTCATTTTTCATCACCCGCCTATGAGTGAAAATATGCGGTGTTTCATTTTCTGTTCTTGTGTCAGTTTGCTGAGGATGATGTTCTCCAGATTCATCCATGTCCCTACAAACGACACAAACTCATCATTTCTGATTGCTGCATAATATTCCATGGTGTATATGTGCCACATTTTTCCAATCCAGTCTATTATCAATGGGCATTTGGGTTGATTCCAGGTTTTTGCTATTGTAAACAGTGCTGCAATGAACATTCGTGTGCATGTGTCCTTATAGTAGAACTATTTATAGTCCTTTGGATATATACCCAGTAATGGGATTGCTGGGTCAAATGGAATTTCTATTTCTAAGGCCTTGAGGAATCGCCACACTGTCTTCCACAATGGTTGAACTAATTTACACTCCCACCAACAGTGTAAAAGTGTTCCTTTTTCTCCACATCCTCTCCAGCATCTGTTGTCTCCAGATTTTTTAATGATCACCATTCTAACTGGCATGAGATGGTATCTCAATGTGGTTTTGATTTGCATTTCTGTGATGACCAGTGACGATGAGCACTTTTTCATACGACTGTTGGCCTCATATATGTCTTCTTTCGTAAAGTGTCTGTTCATATCCTTTGCCCACTTTTGAATGGGCTTGTTTGTTTTTTTCCTGTAAATCTGTTTGAGTTCTTTGTAAATTCTGGATATCAGCCCTTTGTCAGATGGGTAAACTGCAAAAATTTTTTCCCATTCTGTTGGTTGCCGATTCACTCTAGTGACTGTTTCTTTTGCCGTGCAGAAGCTGTGGAGTTTCATTAGGTCCCATTTGTCGATTTTGGCTTTTGTTGCCAATGCTTTTGGTGTTTTGGTCATGAAGTCCTTGCCTACTCCTATGTCCTGGATAGTTTTGCTTAGATTTCCTTCTAGGGTTTTTATGGTGCCAGGTCTTATGTTTAAGTCTTTAATCCATCTGGAGTTAATTTTAGTGTAAGGTGTCAGGAAGGGGTCCAGTTTCTGCTTTCTGCACATGGTTAGCCAGTTTTCCCAACACCATTTGTTAAACAGGGAATCCTTTCCCCATTGCTTGTTTTTGTCAGGTTTATCAAAGATTGTATAGTTGTAGATACGTTGTGTTACCTCCAGTGCCTCTGTTTTGTTCCATTGGTCTATATCTCTGTTTTGGTACCAGTACCGTGCTGTTTTGATTACTGTAGCCTTGTAGTATAGTTTGAAATTCGGTAGTGTGATGCCCCCCGCTGTGTTCTTCTTGCTTAGAATTGACTTGGCTATGCGGGCTCTCTTTTGGTTCCATATGAAGTTCATGGTGTTTTTTTCCAGTTCTGTGAAGAAAGTCAATGGTAGCTTGATGGGGATAGCGTTGATTCTGTAAATTACTTTGGGCAGTATAGCCATTTTCACGATATTAATTCTTCCTAACCATGAACATGGAATGTTTCTCCATCTGTTTGTGTCCTCTCTGATTTCGTTGAGCAGTGGTTTGTAGTTTTCCTTGAAGAGGTCCCTTACGTTGCTTGTGAGTTGTATTCCAAGGTATTTTATTCTTTTTGTAGCAATTGTGAATGGCAGTTCATTCTTGATTTGGTTTTCTTTAAGTCTGTTATTGGTGTAGAGGAATGCTTGTGATTTTTGCACATTGATTTTATATCCTGAGACTTTGCTGAAGTTGCTTATCAGTTTCAGGAGTTTTTAGGCTGAGGCGATGGGGTCTTCTAGGTATACTATTATGTCGTCTGCAAATAGAGACAATTTGGCTTCCACCTTTCCTATTTGAATACCCTTTATTTCTTTTTCTTGTCTGATTGCTATGGCTAGAACTTCCAGTACTATATTCAATAGAAGTGGTGAAACAGGGCATCCTTGTCTAGTGCTGGATTTCAACAGGAATGCTTCTAGTTTTCGCCCATTCAGTATGATATTGGCTGTTGGTTTGTCATAAATAGCTTTTATTACTTTAAGATACATTCCATCGATACCGAGTTTATTGAGGGTTTTTAGCATAAAGGGCCGTTGAATTTTGTCAAATGCCTTCTCTGCGTCAATTGAGATAATCATGTGGTTTTTGTTTTTGGTTCTGTTTATGTGGTGAATTACGTTGATAGACTTGCGTATGTTGAACCAGCCTTGCATCCCCGGGATGAATCCTACTTGATCATGATGAATAAGTTTTTTGATTTGCTGTTGCAATCGGCTTGCCAATATTTTATTGAAGATTTTTGCATCTATGTTCATCATGGATATTGGCCTGAAGTTTTCTTTTCTCGTTGGGTCTCTGCTGGGTTTTGGTATCAGGATGATGTTGGTCTCATAAAATGATTTGGGAAGGATTCCCTCTTTTTGGATTATTTGGAATAGTTTTAGAAGGAATGGTACCAGCTCCTCTTTGTGTGTCTGGTAGAATTTGGCTATGAACCCATCTGGACCTGGGCTTTTTTTGTGTGGTAGGCTCTTAATTGCTGCCTCAACTTCTGACCTTGTTATTGGTCTATTCATAGTTTCAGCTTCCTCCTGGTTTAGGCTTCGGAGGACACAGGAGTCCAGGAATTTATCCATTTCTTCCAGGTTTACTAGTTTATGTGCATAGAGTTGTTTGTAATATTCTCTGATGATGGTTTGAATTTCTGTGGAATCTGTGGTGATTTCCCCTTTATCATTTTTTATTGCATCTATTTGGTTGTTCTCTCTTTCCTTTTTAATCAATCTGGCTAGTGGTCTGTCTATTTTGTTGATCTTTTCAAAAAAACCAGCTCTTGGATTTATTGATTTTTTGAAGGGTTTTTCATGTCTCAATCTCCTTCAGTTCAGCTCTGATCTTAGTTATTTCTTGTCTTCTGCTGGGTTTTGAGTTTTTTTGATCTTGCTTCTCTAGCTCTTTCAATTTTGACTATAGGGTGTCAATTTTGGATCTTTCCATTCTCCTTATATGGGCACTTATTGCTATATACTTTCCTCTAGAGACTGCTTTGAATGTGTCCCAGAGATTCTGGCATGTTGTGTCTTCGTTCTCATTGGTTTCGAAGAACTTCTTTATTTCTGCCTTCATTTCATTGTTTACCCAGTCAATGTTCAAGAGCCAGTTGTTCAGTTTCCATGAAGCTGTGTGGTTCTGGTTGGTTTCTGAATTCTGAGTTCTAACTTGATTGCACTGTGGTCTGAGAGGCTGTTTGTTATGATTTCAGTTGTTTTGCATTTGCTGAGCAGTGCTTTACTTCCAATTATGTGGTCAATTTTAGAGTAGGTGTGATGTGGTGCTGAGAAGAATGTGTATTCTGTGGATTTGGGGTGGAGAGTTCTGTAAATGTCTATCAGGTTTGCTTGCTCCAGGTCTGAGTTCAAGCCCTGGATATCCTTGTTGATTTTCTGTCTGGTTGATCTGTCTAATATTGACAGTGGAGTGTTAAAGTCTCCCACTATTATTGTGTGGGAGTCTAAGTCTCTTTGTAAGTCATTAAGAACTTGCCTTATGTATCTGGGTGCTCCTGCATTGGGCCCATATATGTTTAGGATCGTTAGCTCTTCTTGTTGTATCGATCCTTTTAGCATTTTGTAATGGCCTTCTTTGTCTCTTTTGATCTTTGTTGCTTTAAAGTCTATTTTATCAGAGATCAGAATTGCAACTCCTGCTTTTTTTTGCTCTCCATTTGTTTGGTAAATCTTCCTCCATCCCTTTACTTTGAGCCTTTGTGTATCCTTGCATGTGAGATGGGTTTCCTGGATACAGCACACTGATGGGTTTTGGATTTTTATCCAATTTTCCAGTCTGTGTCTTTTGATTGGTGCATTTAGTCCATTTACATTTAGGGTTAATATTGTTATGTGTGAATTTGATACTGCCATTTTGATGCTAAGTGGCTGTTTTGCCCTTTAGTTGTTGTAGATTCTTCATTATGTTGATGCTCTTTAGCATTTAGTGTGATTTTGGAATGGCTGGTGCTGGTTGTTTCTTTCTATGTGTAGTGCCTCTTTCAGGAGCTCTTGTAAAGCAGGCCTGGTGGTGACAAAATCTCTGAGTACTTGCTTGTTGGCAAAGGATTTTATTTTTCCTTCACTTCTGAAGCTCGGTTTGGCTGGATATGAAATTCTGTGTTGAAAGTTCTTTTCTTTAAGAATGTTGAATATTGGCCCCCACTCTCTTCTGGCTTGTAGTGTTTCTGCCGAGAGATCTGCTGTGAGTCTGATGGGCTTCCCTTTGTGGGTAACTCGACCTTTCTCTCTGGCTGCCCTTAGTATTTTCTCCTTTATTTCAACCTTGTTGAATCTGACGATTATGTGCCTTGGGGTTGCTCTTCTTGTGGAATATCTTTGTGTTCTCTGTATTTCCTGCATTTGAGTGTTGGCCTGTCTTGCTAGGTGGGGGAAATTTTCCTGGATGATGTCCTGAAGAGTATTTTCCAGCTTGGATTCATTCTCTTCGTCCCCTTCTGGTACACCTATCAAACGTAGCTTAGGTCTCTTCACATAGTCCCACATTTCTTGGAGACTTTGTTCATTCCTTTTTGCGCTTTTTTCTCTGATCTTGGTTTCTCATTTTATTTCATTGAATTGATCTTCGACTGCCGATATTCTTTCTTCTGCTTGGTCAATTCGGCTATTGAAACTTGTGCATGCTTCGCGAAGTTCTCGTATTGTGTTTTTCAGCTCCTTTAATTCATTGATATTCTTCTCTAAGTTATCCATTCTTGTTATCATTTCCTCGAATCTTTTTTCATATCTTTTTTCAAGGTTCTTAGTTTCTTTGCATTGATTTAATACATGTTCTTTTAGCTCACAAAAGTTTCTCATTATCCACCTTCTGAAGTCTAATTCCGTCATTTTGTCACAGTCATTCTTTGTCCAGCTTTGTTCCCTTGCTGGTGAGGAGTTTTGGTCCTTTCTAGGAGGCGAGGTGTTCTGGTTTCGGGTGTTTTCCTCCTTTTTGCACTGGTTTCTTCCCATCTTTGTGGATTTATTCACTTGTCGTCTGCGTAGTTGCTGAGTTTTCGATTGGGTCTCTGAGTGGACACCCAGATTGTTGGTGATGAAGTATTTCTGTTACTTGGTTTTCGTTCTACCAGTCTAGCCCCTTCACTGTATGACTGCTGAGGTCCACTCCAGGCCCTGCTTGTCTGGGGTGCACTTTTATTAGCTGTGGAAAAGCGAGGGATGCTACCAGTTTCTTTTTCTGCTATCTTTGTCCCAGAATGATGCCTGCCAAATGTCAGTCTTTTGGATATAGAGGGGTCAGGGAGCTGCTTGAGGAGACAGTCTGTACTTTTTAGGAGCTCAATTGCTGAGCTGTGAGCTCTGTTGTTCATTCCGGGCTGATAGGCTGAAAAAAACCCTTTTTTTCTTAGATGCTGTGTCTGGGGGCGGGGTTGAGGCTTTCCTTGTGAGTGTCCGCCTCGCTGTCCTGCCCAGCTAGGATGCAGTCAAATCACTATTTGCCTGCCGAGGCTCCGCCCTGCTGGTGTGAGGTTCACCCTGTTGCTGCAGGCTCTGCCCTTCTGCTGTGGTCTCCGCCCTGTTGCCACGGTCTCCGCCCTGTTGCCACAGGCTCCGCCCTGTAGCGGAGTCTCTCTGTTGTACTGGGTTGCTTCGGCAACAGCAGGCTACGTCAGCAATGGGCGCCTACCTCAGTGCGGGCTGATTGCCTCGGTAATGGCGGGCGCCCCTCCCCCACGGAGCTGCGCTTTAAGAAAACCTCCTCACAGGGAGGGTATGGAATCACCATTTTGTTTGTCGCACTGCGCTAGCCCAAACGCTTTGTTTCTGGGATTTCCTGGGCTGGCTCACTGCCCAAGTCCCGTTCAGTCTCAAGTTTAGCCCTCCCAGGTCTCAGTTTGCCGGTTCAACAGGGTACCCGTAACAGTGCACTTTTGTATGCAGCGCTGTGGAGCGCCTCTGTGCTCCAGCGTGGGTCAGAGCTGCACCGGCTGCCGGCTACACCAGCCGAGACCTCTGCCTGGCGTCCCGCGTCTCTTTTATACCTGGGAATTTCCCCGTTCTGTGGGCAACTAAGATCCGTCTGGAAATGCGTCCCCGACTCACCCTCTCCACACATCCAGCGAGAACTTCAATCCTGGGTTGTTCTCACAGTGCCATCTTGAGTCCTCCTACCTCCCATGTTTTTTTTTTTTTAATTTCCAAGATAGGTTTTTCTATCGCTATAACTAATAATTCTAAATTCTGATTTTTATTACATATTTATATAGATCAATGAATCAAAGATACATCTTCAAGAAAGTAAGAGGCAACACAAGATTCTCTCTGATGAAATGCTTAAGTATAAGATAAAATCCCTTGTTTTTGCCTAGATTACATTCTAAAAACAGAAAGAAAGGCCATGAATAATTGTTAATTATTTAATATTTTTATTGAAGGATAACATCAAAAACTCTGAAGGAAGTAATAGCATTTTGAATGATGTCATTCACGGTGCATGTTCCCGGTTGCAGTTCGAGAATGATCAGTATGTCAAAAGTCTGAACTTGATAAGAATTTGGCTGCTAAATTGTACCATGATTCAGTTTGGCTTTTGAGCCTTTTTGTCCATTGGGTGAATTGAGATCTACATTTTATCTTGCTGCCCACCACAGTAAAAGTGCGGGAGTCTGGGGTCTGAACCTTCTTCTGAACAATGATCTGGAATAAAAGTACTAATACCATAATGACTTTTTATATTCATGGGAATAGGAAGTATGTTTTATTTTTACAACCTAGGTATTTGTCAATTCACGTGGTACTGCCATTCAAGATATACAGAAAATAGAAAATATATGCGTGATGAAGATATCTAGACACATTGAACAGTCCGTACCCCACTTAATGCTGAACAGAGAATATTTCAATGTGAATTGGGGGTAATTTTTTTAATGTATCACTTTTTAAATATTCCATTAAGGAGGCCATTCCATTAAGAAAAGTTCAGTTGAGCTGTTTGTCTTGAACAACTTTGCATCGTCTCTACTTTCTCCTTGTCATCTACTCTCTTATCCCATTATGTTTTAAGCAGGAATATCATGGGTGCCACAAAATGTTCATGCCTCATGGTGTTTTTTTGCTCTTCATTTCTACATGTGCTCAACATTTCTCCTATCTCCAAACTGGGCCAGCTACTTCCCCATGAAATACAGCAGTGACTGATATAGGCATGGTTGCCTATATTACAGACCACGCCTATATCACAGACCACTCAGTGCCTCTTTTGAAATCCTGCTACATGTTTTGTTTCTATCCCATGCACAAAAGTTGGAAACAAAATTCTACAAAGAACTTGAAAGATATTATTTCAATGAACACCTCAGGAATTTCAGAGATAAGTGACCCACATCTGTGACAAGACTTTCATTGCATCTTAGCTATGAGAAGAACCAATATTTCATGTCTTAGAAGATTAAAATCATATGACAGCCACATGGAATTCTTCCTTTGTGGAAATTAGAATATTTTGTGTCAGGTTTAAACTGGCCTTAATGGAGCTGGTGTCATGGAAGGAAAAGTGGAATCTGAAGTAGGCCAGGGACAAAAGGGAGGTACCCCACTGTAAATCAAGAAGGAGCAGGTGGTGAAATGTTAAAAATTATAGAACTCAGAGAGCTAAATGTAATTACTTCCTTTTCAAATTGTTAAATATTTTTACCTACAGTAAGATATTCACAACCTAATAATTACCATCTTAACTATGTTTAAGTGTACAGTTCAGTTGTGTCAAGTATACTCATGTTGTGCAATTATTTTCTAAATGCCTTCTCTCAAATTTGTCTTAAAGTCACAAAATGTAAATGACAGATTCAAGGATTTACAGCTGAAACCCTGGAGGTCCAGTAATTGTAACCTGGAAATTATGTTATTTGTTGGAGTCCCCACAGCATGGAAATGAGTTTGCCCTGGGATGGTGAAGAATGACTTCCTGCCTTCAGATTTCGTACCTTCTTCTCTCCCTACCCTAACCGAGGTCTCAGGTACACTTGCATACACACAGAGAAAATGGTTTTATCCTTTCCAGGAATGAAAAACGACCTGAAAGGCCTCTTTGCTTCATAAAGTTCTATGGAAGCAGAAGTGCAAGCTGAAATAAAAAGATGAAGATGAAAGTAGATAGTCTTTACCAAACCTACAGACAAAGAAAGACTACTGAGGAAGAGTAAGATGTCAATGTATTCATTGACACGAATGCTGCTTTATGAACAATGTGTTGACCAGAGCAGACAGATATAATTTCCGTTAAAATATTTTATGCAATACTTGTGGCAAATTAAGTCTTTACAAAATTGTGCTTGTCCTTCCTGCCATGATTTCTATAATCTGCATATTTCCTTTCCCTTCATACATTCTTGTTTGTAATTGATTAGGTGGAAGAGAAGGAACTGCTACTGGCATTTTTAAATTTAATACCTGGGTCACCTTTAGATCTGTTTTCACAGTCCTTTAGGTTTTGGTCATATTACATTGCATTTTTCCTACCACATGATTAATCATTTTTTATTAAATGTGAGACACTATAAAAAATATTCAGAAACAAATTCAGGCCTACTAGGATGTTATCTTGCAGAAAAAAAATGGGAATCTACTTCAGGTGGATGGTTGGGGTACTAGCAGACCTGGATTTCCCCCATCCAGTCAGCAATTGAGGTCATCAGTGCAGGCTCAGTCCCCATAAAGGCCAATGTATTTCATGTCCACCTTTATTCCTACTGTGTGACTCTTCTGGATCCCAACCAAAGCCACTGGACTTCAGTAACGGTCACCTTCATTGACAGACCCTCAACTCCACTTGTTTTCCATCCAACCTCATGCCCTGTGCATAAGCTTCTCTGTTTCTTTACATCTTGGTAGTGCCTTCTAGAATTAAGTGGTGAAACTCAGGGAAATAGGCCCCAAATGCTAGGCTGACCTTTGTCCTGGGTTTTCTTCTTCTCCATCTTGGCCTCATGTCTCTTTAGTGCCAATTTAAAGTTAATAATTTGATGCATTCAATCCTGTGTTTTATATTCTGTCTGGTGTTCTTCATCGTTCTCATGGGAGATCAGAAGCTTAAGATGCACTCATCCCCACTCAAAAGCAGAACTCCTCCTTTGCCTTGTTTTTAAGATTCAGGTTTTGTGTTCCTAGTTCACAAGTGCACAACAGGGGTAGTGTTGTTCTCACTGGCTTCTCATTTGCATGAAACTGTGAGTTCCTTTAGGGTAGGAACAGGGCCCTGCTCTTCTCGCATCCTCAGTACCTCACAACACACTCCTTGCTTTGGGCCTCTCCAGACAGCATGAAGGATGGCTTAGGTGGTCAGAAACAAGTGCATTAGCTTTCTCTTTGAAGTGTTTTTGTCCCTGTTTCCTAAAGATTTTGGAATTTTATGCGTCCTTCATATGAAATCAATTATCACATGAGATCCTTTGAATCAGAATCATAAATGAAGTAGTGCAAGGGCAACACAGCAAACCTGTCTTTTTAGGCTATTGCCTTTTTCTGCCTCCACTATCAATGAAGTAAACCTTGTTAAACTCAATCAACATGGGGGTTGATTGTTTGCATTTGCCACCTATTTCCAGGTCATAACACCCTGACTAAGGAGCCACTCAGATTATTTTTGATTCAGTAGATGTACCCAGCACTCAGATTTTCCTTTTCTGTCAACCAGAATTTTTGAAGTCAATAACAGGAGTTCCAATCCTGAATCATGGAAACGTGCAGTAGTGAACTACAGGGTTAATGACATCGTGTCCTGAAAGGATGTCTCTAAGGCTGATTGTCTGGGTTCTGGCATCAGCCTCTGACTGAGAATCAGGTTTCCTCATGGGAGGAATCAGACAAGGAATGATCCCTGCTCCATCCTGATTGATTTGTAGTAATGAGTTGGGCAGTTCTGGTTTTCCACATGAAACTAAAATGAGCTTTCACTGTGTCAAGCATAAGACTGACCCCAGAAAGACATGTCATGCATCTCATAGAAGCTTTCTATAGTCCTTATTTACTAGTATAGAGCTATGAAGAGGAACTGGAAGTTACAGAGGATTTGTCAGCAGGCCTGAGTGTGATTTTTCTTTGTCCTTCAGTGGGAGGCTTCAATTCTTCCTCTCGTTATAAAGATCTGCTTGTATATAAATGGGAAGGTTGGAAGGGGACCTTTGAATCATGGCCTTCAAATGCTGGAAGGGAAGAAAGAAGCCCACATTGGCTACTGGATCCTGTGCATACATTTCTTTCCTTTTCATTTCAGGAAGCTGAGATGAAAGAACGTGAGCGAGCAGCAAAGGAGAGGCAGCTCTCAGAGGCAGAGGGAAACTTGAAGTTGGTAGTTGAGGAAATACACACCTACAAGTGACTTCAGGGACTGCACACCAACCTCTTGGGAAACCTCTGCTGAAGTGTTTTGTTTTTAACTTTTGTACAATGTTTGGACCCAATTAACACAGAAAGACAAACAAATGGTCAGAAGACATATTTATAGACAGAGAGAGAATTCACATAAGAAAAAACAAAGTACTTTAAGGTTTACCAATGACCAAATACTATGACTCGACTGCTGGGCAGACTGTGTGGAAACCCGGTTCACACAAACTTTTCTAAGGATAGTTGTCATCATCCTTAAGAAAGTGCCTTGTGGTGGCATCAATCACATCCTTAAAAAGGACTGTGCCTGTTTATAAGCCCAGTTGTTCCTGTCCTGTGAAATATGGTAAGGATATTAGCACAAGGAGAATAGAGATTTATGATAAGCGATGCTCAATGAAGGATGATTTAAGGACATACTGAGGGTAGTAAGGAAATTGTCAACTTAGAACCCAGCACGCATTAAGCAATAGATGAGGAATCAATATAGTAACAGTTTTTTTTTTTATCATACTGTACTTTTATAACCATGTGAAATGTGTTTTCTATCTATGGATATATTGTGTAAGGGTACGGATGTGAGGATAACCAGAACATGGCAGATTATTGAAAATCATCCTGAAAACGGCACTTTACCTGATAAAAGTGATTCTAAACCATATAAAAATGATGGAAGACACAGAAGAGCAGCAGAGGTAGGTAGAGAACTACTGCAGGTGCCAGGTAAGGAGCATTCTTCCCAGCAGTTGCAGAATCCTTCAGCACTGATGCAAATGATATCATGGCCCTTAGACTCCTTAAACATACGGGTTCTCATGTATTGGCTTTTTCAGATCACCACTTCTGAAAGAAAGGCTCATGACAACTGGGTAAGCTTTTTTTTTTCTTTCCTTGCTTTTAGGCATACTCTGCCAGGTCAGGACGTGGATGTATTTTTCTCCCCACAGCTCTGTGTTTAAGCCTTGCAGAGGGAGATGGAAGAGAAAGCTGCCTACAAGCAGCACAGGTAGGTAATTGTGATGGACATTTTAAAGGATGCTTTTTTTTTTAAGGGAAGCTTAAACAAAACAAAGCTTTGAGTGCCTAGTAAAGAACTTGGCATTTTAATTCTTATTCAAGTTCACTCCTTCTCTGACTCCAAGACAGGAAATGATTGAAAAACAGAGTGCTGGAGAGACACATTAGTCAGGAGCCAGCTAGTGGACGACCAGGCCTAAAGAATCCTCCCTGGAGAGGTATGAGCTCAATGTGAAGACAGTCACATAACTTCTGCTGTACAGTCCACACACACCCCTTCTCCTTTTGGGGGTGAGGGGTCAGGATGGAGGGTAATTGTTATGTTTCCTGGAAAAAGTTTCAAGTACTTACTAAAGAGAACAGTTGTCTCACTAGGTGGCAGGACACAATTTTCCTCAACTGCTCAAGTCAAATGGCTCTCATCCCCTGTGAATATTGGAGCTGAAGCCCATCAACTGACTGTGGATACCACTCCACCCTGAGCTTTTGGTTACTTTTAACTGAGGTGATGAGCTTAGAAGGGTAATGGGCCAGCTCCGCTTCCCACCTTGAGTCAGTGTGAAGGCTTTATTTTTCTTTCATTTGAGAAAAGCAACACCAATAACATTTTAGAACGGGAGCTGTATGTCCTAAGGAGAGGAAATTTTCTTGCTATGTCTTTGTGAATCAGTATTATACAATGAGATATTTTTAGGAAAAGAGGCATTTATTTACTATTTTTGGAGCTTCCTTTATTTTTGTTTGAAATGTTTATTGTGAAATATACAATTCCATTAGTAATAAATTTCTATGCAATTTTACTCCTCTAACATTTTAAGTGTAACCCTAAAACTTTAAAGTAAGTTCCCATAGCTCTTACCTTTTCTCATTACTATTAGTCTCTTTAAGTCCATTTCTGTTCATAAATATTTATAATACCTGGTCTGATATGAAAGTTAGATTAAATATGAATCCAAAGTATTGCGAATGTCCCTATGGCTTTAGAAAAAGGAGCAGTGCTATTCCTGTCCAGGGTTTATTGATATTTTTTTTATCCATAGCCATCCTATTTTAATTTTTAGTCTGTGCTTAATTTATAAGTAGTTTCCTCTGATAGATACTGGGAATTTCTGATTTAGAGTTGATTTCCAGCTAGTTTGAACCCTGCCTGCTCGCAGTTAGTTGATTTGCTAAGACCAGGGCTCTGTGGTGTCCTTTTCAAGGACAAGGGTCCAGAGGGTTCCAAGGTCTTCTGTGGCATCTGGTTAATGAACTCCTCTGTGACTCTGACAAGGGACCTGACTGTGACAAAGAGAGTGACATGGCAGATGTGGACATGGAGGTTTTCTTATTCTGCACATATGATGCAAGCCAGAAAAAGCCCCGATCGTTTTCTGGTCCTTAGCAGATTCACGACCTCGTTCAGTTCCCATGAGGAATAGCAGCTGCATCCCAACTGAGAAAACAAAGAAGATAAAGGTCAATGCTGTGGTCATTTTCACTGTGCCTATTTCAGGACACTTTTATCTTTTCATCCAGTACCCTCTCCTGGCCTTGTCTCTGGCTTATGTGTTCTGTGATATCTTTTCTGTCTCTTCACTTTTTAAAATGCAAAATATTTTCCATGAGGCTTCGGTCTTTTCCATTCCCAGCTGGTCATCTTTGGCGGCACGTCCAGAACCCATAAATGCTTAAGGGCCCAGGGCTGAAGAGCTTTAACTGTTCTGTTTCCAGAAATAACATGAGAATATGCCACTTTACTCCTCTGCTGTAGGTCTCATGGCCCAGTAGTCCCTTTTAACTCAAGCTGTTGCTGATTCCCCTCCCCAAAATATGTGGGAATTTTTTGTTGTTATTATTCTATTCCTATGGGGTAGGTGACTAACTTTTAGAATATCTGCTGTAATCTCCCTAAGTGAAAAATATAAAAACTCATTCATCCAGTATTAATATGTGCTTCATGCAAATCTCAATGCTCTTTGACAAAGCAAATTCCACAATTAATCACTGTCCCATCTCTGTCGGCAACTCTGTTATTTTACATAATAGATGCCCCCTCCCCATCCAGTGGTGTCCTTGATGGAATATTTAGTTGTCAGAGGTTTTATATTTGTAATAGGAAATGTACACTGGATGTGAGATAGTGAACAGTGAAAGTCACTAATTAGCTACAAGGACAATTCCCAACAAAGGTCTTAAATTACAGTCAGCTAAGCTGTTTTCTCATGTGGTCCCCGTAGCTTTCACAGCTGGTGAGTCCTTCAATCACACATGACAGGACTTCCACACTCAAAATCAAATCACAGTTGTTTTAATTCTGTTATTTAGAACTCCCATTTCATTTTTCCATGGACAAAATTGTTCTTTATGTCATAGTGCATTTAAAATTTGGTAATACCTGTGAGTTAAAATAAATATTATAGCTATACCTAACTAACTTCTACGGACTTGATTGTTCTATCACAAAGCCCTTTCCCAGTTCCCCTTCAGGAATTCACATCTCTCCAGAGCTCTTTGTGCCCGCGGGTTGTACCTCCAGAGTGGAGAAGACCCTTTGTCAGGAAGGGAGACAGAGGGGGACGAGAGGGTCTGCAGGTCGAGCTGGGATCAATTTCCACTCTGCCGCTGGTAAGCTGTGTGACCCTGGGTGAATTTTTTCCTTTCTCTGGTATCCTCTTTTCTTTGATTTAGCACAGAGTAGCCACACTGACCTTACAGCATTCTGAGAATCAGAGATAGGACATGAAAGACCTGTAAAAGTTCTCCTAAGAGTAGCTGTGATTCATGTATGAGTAACGGGCTTTTCATTCCTCCTTTTATCTGTGTTCATCACATGCAAAGAACCAACTTCAGCGGTGGTGATGAGGGAGAGATGGGAGTATACCTGGGCTAGACACCCATGTATCCGGAATATGCTTTTTTACTACTGTGTAATGACTCTGTCTTCCCTGGAACAGGACCCAGAGTGCCTATATCTACAGACAGACACATTGGCATGTTGTGACAGCAGGTTATCCTCATGGCTTCCCTTCACACCCCAGCTGTCCTCAGGACTCAGTAGAAGGGAGATTTTGGGCACTGACACTGCTATTTTGAAACCTGGAGCAGGGGAAAGTGCCAGGGACTGTCACCTGGTACATGGGGTGCAGCTGGTATTGGTGTTGGTGTTTTTGTCCATCATATTAATGTGTTTTGAAACTTTTCTTCCTTCTGCTCTGCAGGTCAATGTGGCTTCAGGAGGACCCCTTTCTCAGGATTGCCCTACTTGCTCTATGGCCTGGCTGGCCCTTCAGGACCATTCATGGGCTGCCAGACACCTCCTCTGCCTGGGTGGCCTCTGGGACCTCAACCACTGACTCCATGCATATCACTTGGTATGCTGATCTGAACAATATGGACTGACTTTTAAAGTGGATTCATCTTTTTTTACTCATTGAGTGAATAGAAAGAAATATCACAGATAGTACTGAGGAAGGAGACCCAGGCATCGGGGATTCCCTCCCTCTCTGTCATCAACTGTGCATCTCAATAGAAGAGAGAGCAGGCCTGCTGGCGCCTCCTGAACCTCCTTCCTGAAAATAACACGCTTGGTCTTGGGGAAATTCTCTGGAAGACACTATTTTTACTTAAAACAAGATCAAACCAGAAACCTTTTCACATATGAGTCTTAAAACTGTAAACCAGAACCCTTTCATATGTAATTTCTAAAGCTATAAACCTAAAATTCTTCCACGTGTAACATCTAAAGTATAAACCTATATAAAGGCAGAACCTTCCTTTGTTAGAGGAGCTGGGCTTTGGGCAAATTATGCCCAGGCTCCTGGCCAAATAATAAACTCTTTCCTCCTTTATTCGGTGTTTGGGAAATCTGTTTCCCGCGGCTGTTCTTGCTACAGTACTACAGGAGTTTATAACACAAGGGTAACACTGGCTGGGGACATGGTTACTTTTCTCAAGTTTCTGAGGGCATGCAGTGGGCTGTGCCATCTCCCCATCACAAGCAAGGAAGCAGGTATCTCTTACAGATGAGGAAAGAGATTGTTTATAGAAGCCATAAATACCAATTTTGCAGGCATGTATGGAACCTTGACTATGTGGCCAGCTCTGTGAGGGATGAGACCCACCCTTGACTTGCAGCACTTCCTATGTCCTGCAGTAGGGAGACACACACCAAAGGGCAGGGATCTTGTGACCATTCATAATGGAAGCAGGAGTGAAGGGCCCCAGAGTGCAAGAAAGGAAGATAGATTCTTCTGGGAATAAACAGGAGGGCATGGAAGAGAGATAAAGTGGGAAGGTGTCACATGGGGATTTGTTTAACTCACTTAGGTGAAGCTGGAAGGCTGCTTCTGGCAGGGCAAGCAGTGTGAACCGGAGTGTGGCGGCTGCATGAGGGCCATGACAGAGTCACTATAGGAGAGTTCAGATGGCACAGTGTGAACAAGGGAATTATCCTCCCTGGAAGTTCCTTGTTGCCCTAAAGCCTTTAGTCTATTATCTGTGGGAAGTGTGCGAAGGCTCTGGATCAGGGTGAATGAATGCCTAGAGGTCTGGGAGTTTAACTTGGTTCTGTAAGGGGACCCGGTCTGCCTGAGTTTATTATGGCTCAAGGAGACTAACAGTGGTTCAGCAGAGCTGCCGCCTTGGCCTTCAGAATTAGACTGACTCTGGTGGGGAAGTGAAGGCCAATCCTGAGCAGCTTGGTTCTCAGCTCATTCCTGGCACCCTCTGCTTCTCACCTCTGACACTCACCTCTGAGCTTTGCATCTCTAACACTGTCATGTAAAATTGTCACCTTCCCTGTGTCCCTACTGCCTGAGCCCAGACACCAACTCTCAGTGGAGCTCAGAGCCTTGGCTTTCTTACAAATGATGATGTGGTTTATGAGGTCATTGTGAGCATGAAGAGACCAAGCCCATAAAGAAAGCATTCTGCAAAATAGCTGACAGGCGTTAGACACTCACCCCTCTCACTGTTTAAATGAAAATATTCCCACTCAGAAGATCGTCAAAAGATGTTCAGTGAAGTTCATTAGATAAACCATAGGCTGTAATGGCTCAGGCCAAGATTTTCAATCATTGTTTCAAAAGATAAGGCAAAGCCCCTGTCTACACGATTAAAGTTCAGATTCTACCAGATAAAAGAAAAGATAATTATAAGAATGTGTACATAGTTAAACTTTAAGATCTATATCTGAGACCTGTAGATAATTGCTTTCCATGGCATAAAGATGCAGATGCAGATGCACACAGAAGTATTTACCAGGGGCACAGATATTTTATAGAAGACAAAGTATAAATAAGACAAAAGAAGATCACATGGAAATGAAATGTGAAGAGGCCCCTGAGCTGTGATAGCCATGCTGTTGCTCCAGCATAATTCTGAGAATAATCCAATACAGTTTATGCTCCCTGCCCAGTGCTGCCTCTTCTGTCTCTACTCCTCTGTAGTGTTCCCCCTAATAAAGGTTTGCAGTCCTATCTGTCTGGGCGTCTGCTTCCTGGAGGACCAGATGACCCCCCGGGTATACCAGGTGTGATTCCTCATACACTGTTCAAACCCAGGCAGACATTGCGGTGCTGGCTGCAAAAGCAGAGTTGCCCTTTGGGTAGTGTTAACTGGGACCACCCCAAGGGGGCCTTCTGGGATGGGGAGCATCCTGTATCAAGCTGTGAGTGGAGGTTGTGCTCATTCATTTTAGAAATAGTCTTGGGCACCTGGTGGCTGCCAGTCACAGGGTTTCCTTGTGATATGATAGACAGGACTGTGTCCCCATGAGGTAGCCAATTTATCTCAATAGGAAATAGAAGAGGGACCAGCAGTGTCTGTGGAGCCAGTGATAAGACCCTGCAGAAGCTCAGGGTTTATAGAGCCCTATCCCCCACTGAACCAGCTGCCCCTAGCAGCACCAAGTGCAGGTAGATCTGAAAAAAGCTGAGCTGGGAACAGACATTTCTCAATAAGGTTTTTGTCCCCCCACCATCTCTCTGTAATTTTTAAATTGTGGGATGGGCATAGGTCAACAGTGAGAGGCTCCCTCTGAACAGGGTTAGAGAAGAGCAGAGAGTATGGTGGGTGAAGTTTGTAAGAGAAAGGGATAGGCAGAGAGAGAATGGGAGGGAAAGAAAGGGGGTGGGGGGAAGGACAGAGAGAGAGAGAAGGAGAAAGAGAGAGAAAGGAAGAAAAAAGGAGGGAGCAGAAAGAGAGCAAGGAAAGAGAGAGAAAGGAAGAAAAAAGGAGGGAGCAGAAAGAGAGCAGGGAACAAAGGCCCAGGTGAGGGGAAGAGGTTATATCACTATTATTGTTCAGTTCAAAACATTTTTTAATTTCCATCTTGATTTCATTGTTGACCCAATGATCATTCAGGAACAGCTTATATCATTTCCATGTATTTTTGTGGTTTTGAGGGTTCCTTTTGTAGTTGATTTCCAGTTTTATTCCACTGTGCTCTGATAGAGTTTTTATATGATTTTGATTTTCTTAAATTTACTGAGACTTGTTCTGTGGCCTATCATATGGTCTATCTTGGAGAATGTTTCATGTTCTGTGAATAGAATGTATATTCTGCAGTGGTTGGGTAGAATATTCTGTAAATATCTGTTAGGTCCATTTATTGTAGGGTATAGTTTAACATCACCTTTACACTGTTGGTGGGAGTGTAAGTTAGTTCAACCATTGTGGAAGACAGTGTGACAATTCTTCAAGTATCTAGAGATAGAAATACCATTTGATCCAGCTATCCTGTTACTGGGTATATACTCAAAGGAATTTAAAACATTCTATGACAAAGATACATGCATGAGTATATTCATTGCAGCACTATTCACAATAGAAAAGACATGGAATCAACCTAAGCACCCATCAATGATAGCCTGGATACGGAAAATGTGGTACATATACACCATGTAGCCATTAAAAGGAATGAGATCATGTCCTTTGCAGGGATATGGATGGAGTTGGAAGACATTATCCTCAACAAACTAATGAAGGAACAGAAAACCAAATGCCATCTATTCTCACTTATAAGTGGGAGCTGAGTGATGAGAACACCTGGACACATGGAGGGGAACAACACACAGTCGCATCTGTTGGAATAAGGTGTGGTAGGCGGTAGTGCATCAGGAAGAATAGCTAATGGATGCTGGGCTTAATACCTAGGTGATGCGATGATCTGTGCAGCAAATCACCTTGGCACAAGTTGACCTATGTAACAAACCTACACATCCTGCACATGTACCTCTGAACTTAAAAGTTGAAGAAAAAAAAGTCATGTACTTTACTATGCGCTTGTTTTGCCACATTTAAACACATATATATGTAGTATATATAATAAATATAAAATATTACATATATAATACATGTAAACAATATATTACTATCCTAATATTAAATATTTAATATTAAAATATTAAACAATATATATTGTTTACAAGTATATATTGTTTAAAGTATATAATATACAATATATTATATACTTTAAAATATAAAATAATAAAATATATTTAAATGATCTCTTCCAAAGGTTAAAAGGGGCCAAAGTAAGTGGGGCTTAAAAACAAGGGCTTCTAGTGGTAGTTTTGGAACCTTATAAATATACCAAAAGCCATTCAGGTATATACTTAAAATGGTGAATTTTACAATATATGAATAATATCTCGCTTCAAAAATTTTAAAACAAGTAGCTGTGTGACCTTGGCAACTTGTTTAGCTTTTCTGCCTTGACTGATACATTGCACATTCAGTTTATTGTCTTACGGTGAGAAAGAAGGCAGTATGGACAGAGGGCGACCACGGGTCTTGGCTCTAAAGGGCTTGGAAAGTCTGGATGGTGCCCACCTCTCCAGTGACTCCTGCATTGCAGCCCTGTGACCCTCTGTAGTCTGTGCATGAACCCTCGGAGGGTTTCTCTAGTGCAACCTAATCCCTTCCACCCAAGATGCCCCCTCCCCCAACCTGATGAACTTTTATTTGTCCTTCAGCTCTCAGAGCAGGAATTTCTTAAGGAAGGTTTTCTTAATCTCCTAAAGGAAGTTATAGTGTTTGTAATATACCTTCACTGAGTTCTGGTCCTTCACTTCAGAGCACGTTATTTCTGGTTTGGGTATACTTCTACTGCACAATTCTTTGATTAAATCTGTTTGCTCTGCTACTCTACGGCCGCATGAAGGTTGTGGCTTGGCTTATCAAGATGTCCCCATGCTTAGGAGAGTGTAGGCTTTCCATAAGTATTCCTGGAATGAGTGAGTGAATGAATGAATCAGAAACCAGGCACAGAGAAAGATAGCGGGCCCTCATATGACTTCTTCAGTTGTTCTGTAGCAGAGTTGTGTTAGAATATAGGTCATGTGACTTCTAGTCAAAATATCACCAGACTCACATTTTGTCTGATATTTCCAAACATAAAAGATGATTACTTTAGTTGGGCATTCCTAGTCTACAGCTTCGTGGTGGTACCTCCTTGTGCCATATTGTTACACATTAGAGTGGCATTTTTTTTAGATGAATTATCACTCTGTTGCCCAGGCTGGAGTGGAGTGGTAAGATTTTGGGTCACTGCGACATCCGCCTCCTGGGTTCAAGCAATTCTCCAGCCTCAGCCTTCCAAGTAGCTAGGACTATAGGCGCAAGCCACCAAGCCTGGCTATTTTTTGTATTTTTAGTAGAGACGGGGTTTTGCCATATTTGTCAGGCTGGTCTCAAACTCCTTACCTCAGGGGATCCACCCACCTTGACCTCCAACAGTGTTGGGATGAGCCACCACACTGGCCTACTAGAGTAGCATGTTTATTCATTAGAATAGTCATAACCTGAGGAAGAAATATAGTTGGTG